ACCATTCTGTGATTCTGTGAAATTTAATACATCATCTACACTAGATGTAGGGAATTTAGCGTACATAGTCAGTACAGGCCAACACTAAAAGTTAGAACAATTCTAACTGTCTTGTTCTACATTCTGCCTTACAAAACAGTATCTTTCATAAGTGTAAAAGCTAAATGTACATATGGGTAAACCAGAACAGTTTTCACCAGACATGTTGCCACACTTTACTGTTTGGTCTTTACCAGGTGGCATGTTAAAATATTCTTTACATATTCCACGTACTGTCCAAAGAAACAGAAGTCACCCACATCAGGGCCTGTCTATACTGAATCTGTACCAGCATAGTCGACCTGGGACAGGCTGAGTTGGATAAAAATCACAGAATAAAACAGATTCAAAGGAACCCATTGACATAGCTGGTCCACCGGCCAGCTCAGCACAGGGTCAGCTTAAAGACAGCTGCTCAGCACACTGCCCAAGGATCTGCCCAGTCACAGATCAGTTAGCTCTTCCATTTAATTTTCTTGGCACCTAAGTAGAGTTTGCCTTATTGAAACTTGGTCCCACGACCTCTTGTCCAAACACTGTGCACCTCTAAGAATTGCTCTGGCTTCTCTAAACTCCTCCCAGAGTCCCAAGACAGCATTGAAACCCCTCCTCTCCTCCTTGCCCACACCAAACAAGCCTTGTTCTCTCAGCTCCTCCTCACTCATCATCACCTACTCCCACACACCACCTAGTGCTTCTTTGCAGCTTCTTCGCAACAGGGACTCAAAACTGTACACAACACTCTAGAGGAACTTCCTTATTAAGAAAGATGTGACATTGCCTTCAGAATCATACAGCTTCACAATAATACTACTACATAGTATAAAGTAAAACCATAATGGAGCTGTACCAGTAATACAGGAAAGCAAAAGTTTTTTCTTCTATCTAGCTTGCTACAAAAACAGAATCCAAGAGCAACAGCTAAACTGCAAGGAGCTACACTGAGGAAAAAAAACCCAACTTTTTGTTATTTCATTAACTTACCTGTACTGGGCATTTACCAAAAATAACCACTTCCCTAGGTACTTTGTTCTCTAGGAAAGTTAGTAATATGGAGTCTTTTTACTCCCCTCCTCTAATTTCACTGCTAAGCTTTGCATGCCTGAAGTACATAGCAATAGTCAAAAAACAGGCATGCCTGAGATATCTGACTCTTAATTAAAAGCACTAATGCAGTTGTAAAACTACAAACCAATGCCTCTCTCTACTGCCACCAAGCCTTCTTTACGCTACTACAGTGACCTGTAGAAAAGCCATTGTGATCAAAACCCCCGAGGCTATTTACTTTTGCTAGCACCTAGGCTCCCTCTGCTTGGGCATGCAAGATTAACATAAACCAAAAATACTTTTACTCATGAAGTAGACACTCAGCTACTCTGAACAGTCTCCTGGGAACAGTTTAATAGCTTTGATGACTCAGTAGGTTTTTTTTCCTGTTCTGTCTTCCATATGTGCGCTTTGTGGCAATCAAGGTCATGCTTTGCAAGATTCACAACTTGTCATTATCTTCTTTCATTATATTATCTTAGACACAAAAGTGCTTTGAGCCCACCTACTCCCCCTTCACAAAAGAAAAGCTGCCATACAGTAGGAAAAGGGTATGTTTTCCTTCCCAAAATTATGTCTACCACCGTTAAATTAAAATCTGCACCCAAATAGATTAGAAAGAGATTTAAACTGCGACCAGCTGAGTAAGAGAGAGATCGATCACACCAACCCCTGGTCCAACTCCCAACTTATATACTGAGCATGATGTTTTATGGAATGAAACAACCCCTTGGCCAGTAAGGGCCAGCGGTAATGACCATGTCACCTCCCAGCTTCCTGTAGCAAAGAAGTTGGGAACACAGGCACACACACAAGGCAAGTCCTTGATCTGGTAGAAACACTCCTTAGCAACAACTGAAAACACCAGTGTTATCAATACTTTTCTCAGCACAAATCCAAAACACAGCATTATACCAGCTACAATTAAAAAAAAAAGAAATCAACTCTTCTCAACTAAAACCAGCACATGAGCCCAAATACATTTGCATTTAAAATACAAGGCTTCAAATTTCTCCAGCATCAGTGAAGAGCTGATACATTTTTAGATTATAGGATTGAGCTGCAGTGTAAGTGAATATGAATTTAATTTTTAGTTTCCATAATCATATTTTCCCCTCAGCTTTCTTCATGTAATATGAGAAATTAGAAGCACTTTCCTTTACATAACCTCAGTACTTTCAATTAAAAAGAAAACCAAAATCCACACCACACTATGGTTCGACTCTTTTTCCTCTCTGTGCCTCTCTACTGCTCATTTTCAGATGAGGCAGATCTCTAGGATTCAAGGCTTATTACTTGGGGAGTAAGAAAGGCAGCGAAAGGAAGGAAGACAGAGAAAAGGGAGATAAAACTTTATTGTGTAATATTACAGGACGCACATGCAGGACATCACTTGTAAAATTTAATCCCTGCTTACAACGTTGCAATATATGCTGGATACTTCTACAGTGATTCATGCATTGATACCCTTCCCCCAGTTCTTCAGGTTAACTCTTGATCAGTTAAATCTGATTTTGGGAAAGTGGAGAGAGAAGTCATTTCTACGCAAAGCAACTGTATGGAATTGATGTTCTTTAAGTTTTCAAATCCCTTCAAGTTTAGCATTAATCTTTTTGTCCTCAATATGCCTTTGCATGACAGAAAGCTACTTTAAAATCAGACCTTGATATGTCCACCAAACGTATCGTAATTGAAGAACTGACACTCCCTTTCACGATAGCAAGTGTTTTCTGTCTCCCCCTTGATTAAGATGTTCCTCGTAAGAACTCCGACTTCTGCCCTCATGTCCATTCCATCAATAACTTCTCCTACATGAGGAAACTGAGGATTTTCTGTCCAAAAACAGTTTTGAAGAAGAAAACACACAGTTGTCATTGATTGAAAATGAAACTTATTTTATATAAGCAAGCTAATTGTAGCAAACCACATGCATTCTGATACATTCTTTCTTAGCTTTTCTTATCCTAAGGCACACAAAAGTAACATAATTGTTAGATGATTAACTGAAGTAACAGCCAAGCAAACTCCTCCCTTTCCATTTCCAGACTGCAGGTGACCCAGTGATAGCTAAGCATCTTGTAGGATGATGAATCAAGTATGTTTTGGAAGGAAACATGGAGTAGCAAAGTTCTATTTATTTTTCATTTTAGTAAGACAACAAATCCTAAACAAATCATATTATTTGAAAGTGAATCTTAACATCAGCCCAATAGTTTGTGAACAAAATGGATTAAAGAAACAATAAGAAGTTTAAATGAATCCAATATATCTACAAAACTTTTAATGAGACATAGATGCAGTTTTTCTTTAAAAGCAAAAGGACGCTGGCTCTTTAATCTGTTCTAAAGAAAAATTAAGAACTGAAAATACCATATTAAGTGCCCTCTGAAAGAAAATAGGATTTGCTTTCCTAACTAAATTTGCTCTATCCTAGATAGCTATTGTGAGGACGCATAAACTAAAGTTAGGGAAAACAAGATACTCTGTTTGTTTGCAAAACCAGTGTAAAACCAATCAATTTCTTATTTGTCTATATGAACTGAGAAAACTAAGTGGTCCTGTCAACCTTAAAAAAAAGGTATTTATATGGTTTTTTTTTTTTTCTCTTTTTTTTTGGGTAGAGGGGGGATGTTCCCTTCCCAATTTCTGATTACCTGAATACAGACTGTCACTATCTCTTCAAAAGTTACAAAAGCATACAAGCCTAAACTGGTCATTGTCACAATATGAAGCAGACCCATGAGTGGCATTAATTCTGTACCTGCTGTTGAGGATTTAATAATACAACAGTTGTCTGTAAGTGGGACTGCACTCCTGTCCTTGAAAGCTTACCTATTGTTTTTCCCTGTATCTGACTAGCATATAAGAAAGAGCAGCTAGGACTCCTACAAAACAATACTTTTAAGTTTTCCTACTAGAAAGGGGCTAAAATAGCTAAAAACTTAGCAAAAAAATACAAGAAAATTTCAAAAGGGGGTGAGTTTACCAAGCCACAGAAAATTCATTCTTTGTGGAACAAATATATAGCTCAGTTTGGGGATTTTTTTTTTTTAAAGTACCTGTTTCTATGACATGATATTGGGAGTTAAAGATAGATGGACCAGTTCATCTCCTTTAACATCTTTTAGAGATCTACATATAGTCCAGAGAGCATTTATTTAAAAAAAAAAAAAGATTTTGTATTTTATGCCATATTATGAATCTTGTAAAAAAAGTTTTTTTTTTTCCTTTAAAAGCAGCTGCTTTTTCACTACAAGATTTCCGAGTTGAAACTTTGCATATACACCATTCAGTGGTGACAAAAACCTTTTTAAACTTAGTACTAACACCGCAAAATAACACTAGTCTGGTTTGTGCTACAAGCTGATGCTGTAGCCCACCAGATGGGAGCAAGAGGGGAAGCTGAAGACCTGAGGCTGGTGGACCACCAAGGAGGAAGGCACAGTGGCAGATAGAAGATACAGACACCCGCAGAGCGGGGCAGCCAGTCCCATAGGAGCCTCTTGTGAGGTCAAACCAACGAATGACTGATAAAAAGGGAAACAGTCAACAACATGCGTGACCATTTTTTGTGCATCACACCCAAAGGAAAAAACAGATTGTAACTACTCAGGAATAACCTGTGTGAGCAGAGGCTTAGAAGTGCCACTTATTTAATGACCATTTTGCTGGTGGGAGTTGAAGGGGCAAACTGGGATGTGGGGCCCACAATTCAAAACTGCCTTTTTCTTTTTTCTTCTTCCTTTTTAATTCCTTCCTCCTTTTTAAATAAAACCTGTAAAAAAATATGATTATAACACTTCAAAAGATGGGAAGGGCACTAAAGGCAAAGTAATGAACACAACAGCCATTCAACAGTATATAAAGAGAACTAGTGAAAAGACAGAATGGAGCCAAGAAACGAAAACAAGAATAATCCTCTTGGCAGAATACTATAGCATTCAATGAGCTTGGGAAGAAATAAGAAAGAAAAACCAGTGTAGTAAGCTGTGAGGCAGACCTTGATGTTATACAGAGCGTTCTTACAGCAAGAAGTACACGTTCCTGTGTACAGCAACAAAGCAATATAGACATAGATGACCAGGCTGTTCTTTACTGAAAAAAAAGAGCGTACTACTGTGAATACATGTCACACAAATCTTCAAATGTTGACTGGTCTCATACCTTTGACTTTGACTTGATGCTTGGTACACTCTGGGCAGGGAAGGAGGGTGAATTCCTCTGTTTGATACATTGAATAGTCAGTGCTTGCAACCACAATCCTGTCTCCAGGCTCCCAACTACTAACATCATCCAGAAGATTTAGTATGATTCCACCTACAGCTTCTACCTGGAAACCTGAAATTGGGACACCTAAGTGGGGGAAAAAAAAAGTAAACAGTGTAAGATTATAATCACCTCTATATGATATAGTCTCCAGGAAGATACTAGTAAGAAAAATATGAGATTTCAGAAGCTCAAAAGTCCTCTAAAGTACATTTCTGCTTTGACACATACCAGTGTGAGATACCATTGCAGCCTACTTATTTGCTGGATATCAAATGAACCAAGTAAGAGATGAAACTAAGTGGCAGAAAAAAAATTTGATTCTTTTTTAAAAAACCCTAATATGATATGGCAATAATGTGTTTCAAGTGACAGTTTTCTCCCATTTAAAACTCTATACACGTAATCCAGGAGCTTCAAAACAAACTAGAGGGACTTTCCTTTCTATTCTCAACTAATAAAACAGCTTGGCAAGCTAAATTACACACACATGCTATTTTACTGCTTTGTGATGGATTTGCACAAGTTCAGCAATTCTTGGTTATTGATGACCCTAACTCTGTAATACCAGCAAGTAAGATGTGTTTTGTTGGATTTTTTTTTTTAAGTCTACACATTTTCAGAGGGCTGTAACAAATAGTAAAAAAGAGTAGTATCAAACAGCTCAATTACTTAACAAATAAATATGAGTATCCTAAAAAATTTCTACTGAGGGAAATACAATATCCCTTAGTAATTCTATAAACAGAAAAAAAACCCCATGACTTCCTATAAAAAGCAAAACTCAGATAATATATCTTAAATTAAAAAAAATTAATAAAGCATAAAAGCAAATGAGTGGTAGACCTTCCAGGCACTTTATACCACAGATTCAGCTTGGTATGATAAAAGCTACCTGAAGTTCAGAAGAACAGCAACAGAACATTGTAACAATAAAACATTTCTTTCGGCTTCTACCAAGTTTTCTTTTCAGGATCATAATCAACATCTTATCTTCTGATATTTAAAGAACATATGCCTGATAAATTACTCAAAAAAAAAAAGTCTGTCTCAGCCTTTTAGAAGACCCCTTATCTCTATCTAAATATATTAAAAATTAATCATAGGGTGGTTTAGGTTGGAAGGGACCTTAAAGATCATCTAGCTCCAACCCCCCTGCCATGGGCAGGGACACCTTCCACTAGGCCAGGTTGCTCAA